ATAAACACATACGTGTGTATCCATGTGCATACGTAGCTTGCTGTGCCCGTACATATACAGTGAACATGCATGCATACAAACATACATATACATATGCATGGACACCTACATATACATATACATCTGCATCGGTTTAGGTATACGTATACGGGTGTCACCCGTATACGTTTACCTAAACCGATGCACGAATGCATATGCATATGCATATACATATGCCTAAACACATGCAGAAACATATACAAGTATGCACATACAGGCAGCCACCTGCAACCACAAGAGCTACCTCACGGAATACACACGCGCGCGCCCGCACGCACGCAAGCACGCACGCACGCACGCACGCGCGCACGCCCGCCCGCACGCACACATAGACACACACACACACACACACATACATACATACATACACAAACCCGCGGTGGGCAGGCGCGGGGGGGGGGAGGCAGAGCAGCAGTGTGGGCGACGGCGGGAAACTGTCCGAAGCGAGACGTCCCGCGATTGGGTGGGAGATCTCCAATTTTCCAACAATCGAATAACATCTGGATGTTGAAGACGTCCCACCAAGCTGGGACCAGGAAGGCAAGAAAGATGAGCGGGAGAGGGAGGGGGCAGGGAGATGGGAAGGCGTTTCGGCCTGACAAGGGCCACGCAAGCTTGAATGCCAGAGAAGGGAGATGGGGAAGGAAAGGGACGCCGAGGAGAAGACAAAAGAGGCGGAGAAGGAGGGGGCGGGGGCAAACAAAGAGGACAAATAATAGGGGGAGGAGAAAGGCGAAATCTGCTAATACGTCGGGCCGTTAGAAAGAAGGTCTGCGACCGAGCCGCTGCGAATGACCTGGGCCTGCCCGACGCGGCCGAATGCCACTCCTCCTGCATTTCGTGAGCCTTCTCCTGATGCTCCTCCTCCTCCTCTTCCTCCTCCTCCTCCGCCTCCTTCTCCTCCTCCTCATCCTCCTCCGCGTCCTCGCTCAGTTCCTCCTCCAGTTCCCCGCCAGTTCCTCCTCCTCCTCCGCCTCCGCCTCCTCCTCCTCCTCCTCCTCATCCTCCTCCTCCTCCTCCTCCTCCTCCTCTTCATCCCCCTCCCCCTCCCCCTCTTCTTTTTGGGACCAACTCCCGTGCCTCAGATCACCACTGCGAGACGCCATTGCAATAAACTCGGATGGTCACATCAGAGGAACAAAATCGTCCAGATCGACTGAACGCCTGACTTGTCTGAGTGAAACCCTCTCTTGAGCTTCCTGGAATTATTTCTGCCAGTCTCCGTGGGGTGCTTGCAGACTTTACTGAGACCCACCACCTGAGCACCGCTCGAATAGAACTTGCACCTGAGACAGAACCAGAGATACGACGCATCGGAGAACGGAAACGCCACAACAGTGTGCTGCAGGCGCTCCAGGACTCTTTGGTCCAGCTTCGAACGCCCAGGACAGGCCGCGTCGGGAGGGGTCGCTCTCCCTCTCCCACGACCGAGCCCTTCAAACAAACCTCGCACCGCCAATGCCCACTCATCCACTTCCACGTATGGGCGAGCACAAGAGTGGGCTTAGGGGCGGCGGAGGAGCACGAGCAGCGCCTCTGAATTCGAGGCTTGGGCCACCCCAGCAAGACCGCAGCGCCAAGCTTCATGACGTGCAGGGCAATCTTGAAAGAGCAACTCAACTGATCAAGGAGGACGGGGTCCGCCGCGGGGTGCCTCGCAAGGGCACTCTTGGCGGTCACATCAGCATAAAAAATCCCCTGCCCAACGAAACGTTCCTCAGACGCGATGCCCTCTTCATCAGGGTCTAACTGGGCCTTGACCTTCTTGCAGGACCGAAGGCTGGGGCCGAAAAGGTGATGAGACTGGAGAATATTACCAGCATGCTGTCTTTCGCCCGAGAGAGCCTCACACAACGACAACGAACCTTGATCCACCACATTCTTGCAATCGATATACAGGTCAAGGTCAATCGGAGCCGAGGCGAAGCAAGCACCCCAAACGAAAGCACCGAACTCGGCCCCTTGAGGCGTTTGGGGACACGGCGCCCACAAAGGCCCCGAGAGTTCATCGAGCAAACGGCCCTGGCCGGAAACCATGACGAGGCCCAGGCGCTCCTGGACAATTCGCGGACGACGTGCCGATGGCTCGAACCGTCGATTATTAACAAAAAATTGCCCCAGACACTGTCACCACACGGCACAGGAGGGGAGCCGGGGGAGGGAGCAGGGAGCACATCCCCATGCCACTTGATCTCCACACCACATTCTCTACTCGGACCAGGAACCAGATCTCCAGGATGGCGGAAAGCACCATGCAGAAACAGAACGCGGTCATAATCGGAGGACGGCGCGTCTCTCGCGGCCTCCTGAATCCAAGCAGGGGCCACTTCATCTCATCTTCTGACAGTGCTCGCAGACCCAGAGACGATGGTGGAGCGCGCCAGGCAGGCCGCAGTGCGGGCAGAGCGGCGAGACGGAGAGGTGGCCAGCGGCCACGGCGTCCGTAGCCGCCCAGATGCCGTTGCAAGCCAGGGCCCTCATCAGCCCCTTGCCACGCTTAGAAAATTGAGAGGCTCCAAGAAAATGTTTCACTACATCCCAGCACAAGCGACGCTCACAACCAAACTTCACGCCTGAATCCCGCCGCAGGTTTCTGCGCACCGCGCCCCGACACAGCGAACGGACCATCTGGGGGGAGTTCAACGCGAGCGAAATAGCCTTGCCGAAATCATCCAGAAGAATACAAAAATCGGGCATGGTCCACCCCAACCGATAATGCGACAGACGGAGGGCACTGATAGGGCCAGAGACCAAACTCCAAGAGAGATCCTCAAGAGCAAACACCGCGGCCCATCATTCTCTCAGTTCGGCAAAGGATATACACACGTCGAATAGGAGGCCCAGGGCCCAGGGTTCCAACATCAAATCCATGCTCCCAGTCTTTCAGATAACACTGCAGCGCGCGCAACTGCGAGTGCAACCAGAAGATGGGGCGCTGCTTGGCGCCCCTGAAGCGGCCAGAAGGCTTCAGCACCGACCGCCAGTACATATGCGGCCGCTTGCCGCGAGCACTGCCACCGGCGCCTCGACACCCATAACACGACCGATCTCGGCTTCTGCTGTGTTGGCCCAAAGCCTGTATCCCGAGTCCCAAACAGCAACCGCCCCATCAAAATCACCCCTCGAAACGGCGTCGAAGCCCTTCTGGGCCACCCCCATCGCGGCACTCCAGTCCTGGGGACGGGGTCTAGGACCAACGGGAGGCCCCACGGGAAGAGGGGGGGGGGCGACGGAACGCGAGAGCCTTGGGACCCATCAGAGACGGGTAAAAACTTCGAGCGACGGGAAAGCGAGGCGAGGTCGACGCCTTCGCGCCCGCGCCCACTTGTTTGACCCCCTGTGCCAGCCCAGAAGACGCACAGAAGAAATCAAAACCGAGGGAGAGGCAGAACTGGGAAAACATACGTCCATGCCAGGGGACACGATCTGGCACGAGAGTTCCTTGTCGAAATCCGAATCCTGCAAGACCTCGAGAGCGCGGTTCCAATCCCCACCCACCACGAACTCACACGTAATCGACGACAAGAAAGCTCCAACCTCTTTCAGAATTTCCAAGTTGCCATCCGAGCAGCCTTCAGAGTGGATCAGATAAAGCGAGACGACGCAGAAGGCCTCGCACCCAGGAGCATGAACCATGCTGGCAACAGCACGGCCAGGGTAGAGCACCGTCTGGGAGACCTCGAAGACGCCGAACGCGCAGCGGACGAAAATCACGGTGCCAGGGCTCACCCCTCCACCAGGGCCAGGGATCCCAGGACACCAAACGCTCTTCCACCCAAGCTTACGAGTCGAGGGCGACACCCTGTTGATGTCAACGAATTCCATCAAGCGATGCTCCTGGCCCAGGATGATCATGGAATCGGAAGCCTCCAAGTACCCCTTCAGCGTGCCCCAAACATTACAGTTAGCCGTCGTGATCGCGACACCCTCTATATTAGAATACATAAATAAAAATAAATAAATAAATAAATAAATAAATAAATATGAGGAGAAGAGAGAAAAAAACAACAAAAAAAAAAAAAAAAAAACTCAGCAGCAGCAGCAGGCAGCGGAGAGGAGAGGAGAGGAGGACCGTGGGCCGCGCCTGGAAGGCCTGGATGCCGCGGAGTCAGAAGGGCAGGGAAGGCCTGGAACCCCTACGAGACATGACCAGGAACCTCAGCCCTCAAGCTTTTGAAAAGGCCGATGCCAGAACGCCTGGACCGGGAGTCGATGCTCGACTGCCTGTCCGCAGAAAAAGGGAGGAAAATGAGGGGGATGTGTATGTAGATATATGTGCGTATACACGTTGTTATATTAGTGTGTATATATATATATATATATATTAGTATATATACATAAGACGAAAATGAATATATATTATATATATATATATATATATTATATATGTATATATATATATATATACATTATATATATATATTCATTTTTTACACACACACACACACACACACAAAAAAAAATGCCTGCCGACGCCGCGCGAACCAGTTCATGCTCCGTTACTTGCCCCCCCCCCCCATCGCGAGAGGGGGGGAGCACGGGACAAAGCGGCATCAACCTTGTCTCGCACATCCTGGGCAGACTCATCACCTTGGGGAGCGGCAGCCGCAGGCTCAGTACCCGAAGTTCTGGGCCCAGAAACTCCTGCGGAGGCAGCCTCACCATCAGCACCCGCAGCAGCAACTGACTGGATCCTCATCGCCGCCTCCAGCTGCAGCACCTGTTTCTATAGGCCGCTTCTTCTCGCACATACGAGTGAGGTCGTCAGCGTCAGCCTGCTTCTGAGCCCGCGCACGATCCACGACTTGCTGGAATAGCTTGTGCGCCAAAGACTGCACCCCATAAGTAAGTTCCTCCTTACGCTTGTCAATCCCACGCTGGTCCTCAGTAAAAAGTCCCCATTATGCAGTCGAGTTTTTGAACTCCAAGAGGCCGCAAGAGACGAGAGAGGAAAAGACCACCTGGTCCTCGGCGAGGCCGGCGAGGGCGATGAGCTTGAACGCAGGCACAGACTGGGCGGACTCATCAGGGACGATGGAGGCCTCCTGATTGAGCTTGACCCCCAATGACTTGTACTCTGCGCCCGCTTGCACCAAAGATTCTCGCGTTTCTCGAAGCATGTTTTCTTGCTCTACGAATCCCCGCCGAAGGCGAAGCACACGGGCGAGATCGGCCTCGATCTTCTTCTCCAAGCGCTTGACCGTGCCGCGAGCGACATTGACTTGATGATGTAGCGGCCGCTCTGCGGCGCCACGCTGCGCAGCCCTGAGGTGCTTAGCGTAGCCCGCGTACCTCTAAGCCGTGACGGCGCCCCCTGCCTTGGTCGACACGGCCGAGAACTGTTCCGCCTCTTCGACCAAGATGGTGGGCACGGGGCCCAAGGGCAGAGGCGGCACGCCTCCACCACGACCTGCTCCGCCGGCAGCACCCTGCGCGCCGCCGCTTGCGGGGCACCCCGCCCACTCACCGCCGCCGCCTGACATTTACCGCCGCCGCCTCCCGTGCCCCTGCCGCCAGCTCCCCCTTCTTGCCCCCGCCAGACTGCATGCAGCCGCGAGGAACGAGCTGGGACGCGTGGAAGACGCCAGGAGGGCACTGGGACCAAGCACCAGTAGGCCCTTTCGAGCCAGGATGATAGCCGAGAGCAGGGAGAGGAGCAGCACAGTGGTAGCAGTGGGTCGTGCCGAACGAGTTCTTCTTACACCCACAGAAAGGGCACAGCACCTTGGACTTGTCACCTCGTGGCGCCCCTCCTTGGCACCAGCCTCCCCCCGCGGAATCCTGCATCCCACCAGGCGCCGACTGACGAGCCCATGGCGCTTAGTAGAAACCATGACTAACAAATGCCAGGCTGGAAGATCAAGCAGGGATCGCGAGTGCGAAAACAAATAGCTCTCTGTAAGCCACCTCGAGAAATGGATTATTTGAGCCACAATGGCTACGAAGCCCCCTTCCCCCTCCCCCTCCCCCTTCCCCTCCCCTTCCCCCTCCCCTCCTCCCTCCTCCTCCTCCTCCTCCTCCTCCTCCTCCTCCTCCTCCTCCTCTCTCCTCCTCTCCTCCTCCTCCTCCTCCTCCTCCTCCTCCTCCTCCCTCCTCCTCCTCCCTCCTCTCCTCCTCCTCCTCCTCCTCCTCCTCCTCCTCCTCCTCCTCCTCCTCCTCCTCCTCCTCCTCCTCCTCCTCCTCCTCCTCCTCCTCCTCTACTCTCTACTCTACTCTGAAAGAAGAGTCCAGCGGTGCCAGACTAACCTACCCTACGATCACGCAGGACCTACCCCGAGGACACAAAAGAGACAGCCCACCTCTCCTCGACCTCGGGACCCGACGAATTTCCTCACAAGGGGAAGGGGAGCCCCCAGTACGCGTTTGACTGGGGCTCCCGCCCAGACCTGGGCCGCCCCAAACACAACCGAGCCAGACGGGCCGCCGAACGCGGGCGGGAGGACAAGGGGCGGCAGGGACGGCTGAGGTCATGGACCTGGCGCCTGGCATAGGCGCCACAAACTCTGCAGAAGACAATCACACGACTCCCCCCACAGTCTCTACCCAGGGTCCCCCCCCCCACCCCCCCCCCCCGATCCCGACACGCCGCCCAGAGCCTGTGGGAGGAGTCGGCGACCGCGGCGGGCCGTGGCATCCCTGGGCAGGGTGAGCAGACTATACGCGATCGCAGCCCCCTCCTCGCCCCACAAATATTACAGCCGCAGGCCCTACCCACCCTACGGAGCGAGTGCCCGTTCTCTCCAGAGACAACGGCCACCGAATTTCGTAGGGACGGCCTGGGTCGGGGAAGGGGAGCTCGATCAGGCCAGCCCAAGCCCGCTAATTTTTTCAGCACAGCGCCGCGGTGGACGGCGACGGTCTCTGCGGCGCGGGTGGCCGCCTGCACCGTCTCAGCCAGCGCCATCACCTCCGAGAAGGCTGGGCGAAGCCTGGCCCCGTCCTGGGCCCTGTCGTTCGCGAGCTGGTTCCCGCGATGCCAGGACCACGGCGCCCCTGCTGCCTGAGCCACCGCCCAGCTGGTGTGGGCGCGCGCCCATTGGAGGCTGAACCCCCTCGGCCCCAAGTCGTTCACGTGGCGCCAGACCTCCTTCCACAAATCCGCGTGGAGCGAGCTGGCTGCGACGCACCAGTCCTAGCCCTTCTCGTAGTCCTGCACCAGCCACAGGTAGTCGGTGACCGCGTCCAGCTGGGGCCCTTTCTCCTGCAGCGCCAGAGTCAGCGCGTAGAGCTCTGCGTAGCCGCTCTCCTGCACCAGCCCAGGGACGCTGCCGTACATCACGCCTACCTCGGCGCCGTCGGCCTCCACCATCTCTACCGCCCAGCCGCTCCGCGTCAGCTCGGCGATGTCGGGTGCGAAGGCGGAGCCGTCTATGCTGACGGTGCCGCAGACCAGCCCGCTGCGGAGAGCACCCCCCCTACGGCATTCCTCCTGCGCGGCTGGTCGAGGCGCCCTCTCAAGCCCCGGGCTGACCAGATACCTGGTCAGCCCAATGTCGTCGGCGGGGGCCGCTGCTCCAGCCTGCCTGGCGGCGATCAGGTCGAGGCCCGCTGCCACATCGGCCGTGCCATCGCAGCCGGAAAGGCTGCACTGTTGCGCGCCCTGCTCCGCGCCGCACAGCATGCACCTGGGGCTCAGCACCGACCTCCCCCGATAGAAGGCTGACTGCGTCACCAGCCCTCCGCACACGAGAGACTCGAACAGGGCCACCTGCTCGTCGTCGCCTCTCCTCCTCAGCGCAGCTACCGCCTGCTGAGTGACGTGGATGGTTGGCGGCCCGCCGAGCGCTCCTCCGAGGTGCTCCTGGTCCAACCTCCTCAACAGCGAGCGCTGGATCCCCGCCTCGACGAGCTGCCGCACTCTCCTGGGGCCCCTGACTTTGAGGTCGATCAGGTCCCCCAGGTCCGTGGCCCAGGCGCCCCAGCTGACAGCCTCCCACCCGATCCTCTGGAGGGTGAGCTGGACTGCCCCTGCTGGACCTCGCACCTGGCCCCAGGACTCGGGCCACGCCGCCTCGAACGCCTTGGCCAGGCTCGGGCCACTGCGCAGCTTCAAGTAGACGGCCTTCGCCCAAGCTTCCAGCGGCAAGATATTCGCCGCGAAACAAGGGTCCGTCCTCCAGCCCTTGTCGGGCAGCACCGCGAACTGTAGCGTCCTGCTCTTGCTGCCCACCGCTCCTGCAAGCACCTGACCGTTGACAGCCCTGGCCTTCTCGAGCGTCGCCGTCGGCACTCCGGCCACTCTGGCCCCGTGGAGCACTGAGGCCAATCCGCCACACCTGAAGATCTTGCCCAGCTTGACCCCCGTGCGCTTGAGCGCCATGTAGCGGGACGCCCGCACGGAGAGCTTCGCCACGCGGCCCCGCAGCACGGACCACGATGCCCTGGCCTTCATGCTGAAGTCGATCCCCAGGTTCGAAGGCGATGAGCCGTGCGACGCCCTGCACCTTCATCGCTGGACACGACGTTCCCCTTGGCCAGGGAGATCTTGAAACCCAGTGCCTCCAACCTCTGGCAGAGGTCCCTGGTGGCGCCGAAAGCCGCGAACTCGATGACCCTCAGGTTCCCGCACACCACCAGCGTGATGTCGTCCACCACCGTGTAGGCGCGCACCGACTGCCACGCGGCCACCACCGCGTCCATCGCCGTCAGGAGGACGACCCGCAAGAGAGTCGTGGCGAACGTGCAGCCCGCCACGATGGAGCTGCCGAGCTCGAGCGGCTCCGCCTTCCACCTGCTGAGGCAGAGCCGCCTCGGGCCTCCGTAACTGCGGAGGATGAGCTTCAGCATCCGAAGCTTGAAGCCGCGCCTGCGAGCTGCCGCCACCAGCCCCTCGTGCGAGACCCTCTCATACGCCTTCGAAAGGTCCGCCATCGTCGACAAGGAGTGCTGCCCCATGGCCGCCGCAACGTTCGCGTCGTGGGCCGGGAGCCACACTGGGTCCTCGCATGACTTCCCTGCCTCGCCGTAGAAGTAGTCGCGCATGTGCTTCGACTCCCACTCGATGGCGTCGGTCCTCCGAATCCTCCCCAGCAGGCGGACAAGGCTGCTGAGGAGGCCTATCGGCCCCCACCCCCCGTCGGCCTTCGCCAGGAAGAAAACGAACAGCAAGTGCACCTGCTCGGGAGGCCTGCAAGTTGCCTCCAGCACTAGCAGTAGCAGGCCCAGCGCCTCCAAGCCCCCGTCGCTGAGGTGGCCGAAGGCGCGGGGCCTGATGGAGTCCACCCCCAGCGCCGTGGACGGTTTGAAGCCCCTGGCCGCCTTGCAGATCTCGTCCGCCGTCGGCGCCAAGTCTATCCCTTCGAGGTGCTCCTCGGGCAGCACCTGGTCCAGGCCCATCGGCATGACCTCGCCGTGCTGCCAGATCGCCTGGTACTCCTGCAGCAAGCTGTCCAAGGTCGCCCCGATGCCTGCAGGGCCGTTGTCGCCGTCCACGTCCGCCGTCCAGCCCTGCGGCGCTCGGCAGAAAGCGCGAGCGGCGCCTCCTCTATCTCGCACCGCCTCTTGGGCCCAGGCCCGCCAGCGCTGGCCCCTGTCCTTCGCGCTTCTCGCCTCGAGCCGCGCGGCAATATCTCGAGCCTCCTTCTCCAAGGCCTCGACCTCCTCGAAGGTGAGCTGCCAAGTCTGCCGCAGCCGCCTCCTCCACCTGGCCGCATCCTGCGGCGCCAGCGCCTCGCCACGCGCATGTGGGGACGCGGCCAGCTTGCTTCCCATCTTGGCGTGGATGGCCCTGAGCTGCTGGCAGGCTGGCGCTCGGGCGCCCGGGTGGTGCAGACGCCGCCTCGTGATCATCTCTTCCCAGAGCGCCGCCCCCACCCTGCGCCAGTGGGGCACCCTCGCACGTGGGCCCCGCCGTTGGGCAGGAGGACCTCCTGCGCCACGAAAGTCGGGTTGGCCTCGCGGCCCTTGAACTTCTCCGCGTCTTGACCGCTGATGCGGTAGCACCCCCTCAAGTCAGACCCCAACAGATTGGCTAACTCCCCGCACAGGTCGTTCACCAGCACCTGGGGAAGCCCGGCGTCATCAGGGAAAGGCGGGCACCCAGCATCCACCGCATTGCTGCCCCCCCCCCCCCTCGACGAACCTCCCAGCGCGCTAGCTGGAGGACTGAAGCCAAAAGGCTCTCGCGTCAGAGGGGCCGCCTCCCCCTCCTCCGCCACTGACTGGGCTGCCCCTAGTGCCGCACTGGCCTCGCCTCCGCCGTCCTGCGGGTCGCACGGGGCCTCGGCCCTGTGGCCTGCGTCCGCACTCGCAGGCGTGCCCTGTCTCATCATCCCGAGGGCCTCTCGGGAGGCAGGGCCGAGGAGCAGGTTCAAGGCCTCCGCCCACTCCTCGCCCGTGTCCTGGCGG